CACACACACACACACACACACACACACACACACACACACACACACACGAGATCCCCACAGGTTCTTGCCTGGCTGAGCAATGGCCTGGCTCTTAGCAGGGCCAGCCCAGGCTCCCTGCACTCGGGCTCGCCGTCTTTTGTCCTCCATGTTGATCAAGAAGGTTTCTGCTCTCAGCTTTCAGAATATTTCATTCCTGATTCAAACTACACAATGGTATCTGTTTAAAGAAAAAAAAAAAAAAGATGTTTTAGTTGGGGTTGTGAGAGCTTGGACTATCAAGGGGTAATTATAATCCTTTCAAGCAGACGAGATGGTTCAATAGCAATCAGAGCTTCTACATGAAATCAACTTCTGACATCACAACATCTCAGTCAGGGAGCCTACTAAGTCACTTGGGGATGCTGCTTTTAATGTTTATTTTTTGCAATGTTTATCTTTTAATGTTTATGTTATCACAGTACTTTCACTTCATTCGCAAGAAAGTAGATGTTAAGAAATTCTAAAACCAGGACCTATCAAAAACCACATTACTCTTATTAGTCCCCCAAGAGCAGAACACAGAGAAACTGTAATACTCCACCTATGAACATTCAGAAATAGGCTAAGACACAGTTTCCCAGGGCATTGCCATATTCCATTATCACAGGCTGCATCAAACTTCCACGGAAGCTTGTTAAAAGCACCTATGGCCTGTCTCAGGATGTGATGTAGGATGGATACAGGTGTTTGTCTTTATAACAAGCATTGTAGGAGATGATGATAAACAGGTATGTAAGGCCCACAAAGTTAAGCGGCTCACCCAGTGTCACTCAGGAAATCAACAGTAGGTAGACTAACATTCAAATTTTATTACGTTCCAGTCTTCAGCTAAGTAAAAAATCCACCTCGTCATGGCCAGTAATACTAATTTGACATTTTTGCCAATAAAAGTCTAGCCCACAGCAAATACAGGAGCATGCACTGCTACAAAAAAACAAAAATGGGAAGGGGGGGGAGTATTCCAACCCTATAATCCATTTCCATCTCAAGTTCTCAAAGGTAACAGGCTCATTTGATAGCTTATTTAGCCTACAGATTCCCAGCTCCACCTCCAGACCTTCTGATTCAGTAGAATAAAGCTGGTCCCGGGAATCTGTATGTTTAACAAATTCCCCCAAATGATAAGTCTGTAAGTCTTCTTATTTAATAGGTGGGGAGAGGACAGAGGCTGCCATCTGCCCAAAAAGTTAATGGCAGAACCAAATACCAACTCTCCAGTCTCACATGATTTGCAGAGTAAGCCCTCATGTGACATTTTCTCTCAAGTGAGGCCTTAAAACCTTAACACAACAATTAGCTACCGTTCTTGCTATGTTCACAGGGGAGCGGTTACTATTATATGCACAGTACGACTGTTGAAAATACAGATTCCAGAACCCCATCCCAGACCTACTGAATTTGCAGTCCTAGACACTGTTAACTAACCCCACCTTCCATGCTGAGATTCTTTACTCGAATTAAGTGTGAGAATCCTGCTGCAGTGCAAACAGCAAGGGTTCTGGCGCCAGCCAGATCTGACACTTCCCAGCTGCATGGCCTGAGGCAAACGACTTAACATTTCTGAGCCTGTTTCTTCCTCTGTAAACAGAAGAACCAATACTTTTCTCACGGTCCAAGTGCGGGTTAAGCGATCCTCGAAGGTAACAGAGCCTAGTCCTGTCGATAAGGGTTAGCAACTTTCTCTATTTTAGACCCTTCTTTCCTGGGAGGCCCTGAACGAGGTCCCGGAGGTCGCTCGGGAAGGGAACTCAGGGCGGTCCCCACACTCGCAGCCCCGGGCACCCAGCGATAGGCCTGGAGCCCTCACCTGCCGGCGGAGACGGGCGCAGAGGTTCAAAGCCGCTCGTCCTAAAGTAAACTCCGCTGCCCCCGGCCTGCTCCGCCGCCCGCGGTCCGGCAAACCTTGAGCGCCGGGTACCGACTCCGGCAACTCTCAACCACAGGCCGCGGCGTCAGGCACTTCCTCTGACGTCACGTGCCGCGGCCGCCGCTTCCGGCGCCACCTCTTGGAATCCGGGCAGCTCTGCGTTCCCCGCGCCTGGAGGGCCGACTCGCTGAAGGTGCAGATGGTAGGGCCGGGGTTCGAGGGGAGTACAGAGATTGAGCGTGCGGTGGAGCCCCGTGCGGGGCCGGGATATGGCGAAGGTGGGAATGAAGACGTATTAACTAGGCCGAAGTCCCTCTGGACATTCCCCGCACACCCCTAACTAGAGACGTCCAAGAGCCTGCTTCTTTGGTCTGTGCGGAAAGAGCGACTGAGACCCAGCGGGCCTGGCAGAAGGGCGAAGGCGTTGGGGGAACCTGGTCCTGATGTACTGAGCAAAAGGATTTGACTTTTATCCCGAAAGCCAATCAGAGTCTAAGATGCACCTCCATTGTGTTGCCACTGCAGCCTGTGCGTACCTCGATCATAGCACTTAGACCAGGGCAGGGACCACGCCTTATTCGTTATGGCTCTACAGTGCTAACAAATTTTGCGTGAGAGAAGAGACCTGGATTTCCGTCTATACACCATCATTTACTAGGTGTATAATCTAGGTCACGTACCCTGCTTCTTTATAAAATGGGTACAGCTTCTGTTGGGAGGATTAAATGAGATAATATATTTAAAGAATTTAGCACAATGCCTGGAACGCAGTAGAAACTCTGTAAATGTTAAGAGTGTCTTCTCTTCAACCCATCTGAGTTCTTGAGAAACATCTTTAAAGCGCCATGGTAAATCATGTACCTTACAGTGTGAAAATAGCAAAAGTAGCACTAAATTAACTATGTCTGTGAAAGTCTTTAAAATAAACCTTGTATTATATAATGCTTACCTGCAAGAAGCTCAGTATACCCCATCAATGACCGTATGTTGTTGTTACTATCAACTAATAATTTGTCAGTGTCTGCTTCTGGTTCAGGAACCTTGTATGTATCTTCCAAAGGATGTCATTTCTTTCTTTTCAATGATTATGGTTTTGGAACGGGAACAAAGAAGTCCTGGATTGTCCTCCAAGTAGAACATTTCTTAAAAATCAATCCATGGTCTGCTTGCACCCAAAATAACTGCATCACCTTTAACAGTTTTAACAGAGTCACCTATATTTTTACCAAGTGCCCAAGGTGATTCTGATGCACACAATGTTTGAAAACCTTTGGGAGGCATGTAGGGAGACAAATGGTTCCGGTTTTTCTGGGACTGAGGGGTTTCCCAGGATGCAGGACTTTAAGTGCTAAAGCTGGAACGGCCCTGGGCAAACTGAGATGGTTGGTCACCCTAGATACATGTGAGTATATAGTTTTCGAAAGATGTTCTTGATGGGTGTTGGCATCCTGGGTTTCCTCATTTCTATTTGCAGTATTTGTGTTTTTGTTAGGGGGTGGTAGCAGAGACCATGGGAGAGACAATGAAGGTGGGGTGCGTTACCAGTCACCAGCCTACTGATTCTCAGCCCCAGCCCCATACTTCTCTGCTCTGCTTGCAATACTACAACATTTCTCTCTTGCCATTTGGCTCGGTGTTAAGCTTCATCAGTAGAGGATGCTAGAGGGACATTAGAGGGAGAAATGTTAGAGAGAAGGAGCTCTTTCCCCTCACTCCAGTGTGCTTCTCTCAGCTGGCTCCGCAGTGCATGGTGGCCTGCTGTGATTGGCACCTTTCTGTGCGCTGAATTAGTTGAATTTACAGCCTTGTTAACATCTCTTGTGAAGTTAAGACATCATCTGGGAAGGAATGGGATCCCAAAACTTGAAATAGGGAACATCTGCTTGGACCCAGGTGAAATTGACCATCTTGAACATCCAAGTCACCCTAAGCCTCCCTTGGCAGTGGAAGCAGCTTGCCCTCGTGTGTCTGAGGAGACTGGTCATCCTTTGCTTGAAAACCCTGTGAAACCCTCACCTGGAGCAGACGACTTAAAAAGTACAGCACAGGTCTGTGCTTCCTGATGGGTGGGAGTCTTCCAGATTTGTGCCTTCCTTCATGTTCTGCCTCGACATAGAGGTAGGTAGTGGCTGCTCCCTATATCTGCTGTTTCTGTGTATCAGAGTTTTCTTTTTCCCCTTGTAGGTAACTTAATATTTTTTTTTTTCCTTGTTCAAATTACTATATGGTTTCTGTCTCCTGTTTAAGTCCTGACTGTTACAGTGTGATTGGGATGGGAGCAATGGGTAGCAAATGGCTGGCTCCAGGGCGGGCCTTAAACTGTAGGTAGTGGGGTTGCCTCTGATTTGGACCCTTATTATCTCTGGCCCTTTACTCTTGCACTACCTTCTTGATTCTCTTCACCTGAGACAACCCTCCTGAAGTCCCAGTAGGCACAAATCTGGAAGCTGAAATCAGCGTTTCTCAGCGTGTAGTCAGAAGACCATCTGCACTGGAGTCCGTAGGGGATGCTTGTAAATATGAAGATTCCAGGGTCCCCCCCCCCCCGTAGGTCTGGAGCAGGGCCCAGCAATTTGCATTTTTAACAGTGCCTTGTTTCATTTTGCAAGAAGCTTCACGAGTTCTCTTTACCTTTTCCAGCTGCCTGCTTTATTCAGGTGGTTACTTTTCCACCCAACAGTTATCCCCTGGATGGCAAAACTGATAGATACTTTACGTGGTGGTAGCTCTTAGAAATGATTCTGGGTGAGGCAACACAAATGTCGCCTGTTTTCAGTTGCTGATTTTCACACCAGACTCTTGCCAAACATTCAATCACCTGCTGCTGAATTCCTGAGAAAATGCAATCCAAGGCAAATAACCACCATCACGCTAACAGTTCTCAGTGAAGGTTTCATAGAGAAATTCCCAGCTCACGTCTCAACTGCCAAAGGCTTATTAGCATTTCCTGGCTTGAGGGAGGAGGAGGGTGTTTGCGCGGAGGTTTTCAAGTCTCTGTCAACTTTAAACATTGTTGAGGGAGAAAGGATGCTTCCCCAGACTCCAGACAGGAACTCCTCCTGTTCAGTGCCCAGCATGATTGCAGGTGCTGCCAGAGATAAAATCTACCATTGAACCATAGTGTAAATGATATTAAAGAACAGTATAATTGGATGTGAAATTGTGGAGAGCAGACAAAAATCCAGGACAGGAGAGACCACTAGAGGTTATGGGCATCAGTGAAGACCTTTATGGCAAACAGGGAGTTATGTCAAGGTTTTAAAGTATGTAGCATTCATATGGCTCAAAGATGTTCTGATAGTTATATTACCCCTGAAAAGAGTAAGCTACATTTCCACGTCCTTGTTTCTAAATAGTAGCAAGTAATATTATTCGTTAACATTTCTTGAGAGCTTCTTGCATGCCAGGTGCTGCTCCAATTACTTACATGCCTACGCTAATTTAATTTTTAGAGCAACCTTGTGTTGTACGTAATATAAATATTAGTTCCATTGACAAAGGAGAAAACTGAACCACTGTGCTTCATGATGCCACCATGCCACTACTCTACAAATACATGGCAGAATGAAAGCCAAATTAAGAAAGGCAGGACTATTCCTGGAATGATACGTGGAGCCATTTCCTGAGACCTCATAGCTGGTTTCTTTCAGTGACTTCAAAAGTGAAGGGTTGGTAGCAATATAATCCAGCAGACCCTGGGTTATAGGTCGTTCTTAATGGCTTTATCTAGAAGGCTTAGCAGATTCCGCTTTAGAGTTACCCAGTCCTCACAGCTGTGTGAACTGTATTATATCAAGTGTGTGAACTGTGTCTCAGCCTCACTACTTCCTTGGTGGGTGACTTCAGAAAAGTTACTAAAGCCCTCCCAACCTTAGTTTTCCTCATCTGTTGGATTGTGTGAAGATTCGCTCATACATTCACTGATATACACGTTTAATCAACTAATAATGAGTACTGACTGTAGCTAGCACTGTGCTAGATGCTGGGGACAAAGTTGTGATCAAGACAGACCTGGTTCCTGCCCTCGTGGAGGTTATAGTCTAGCAGGGAAGGTAGACATTTAAAAAACAGATATTACAGGTGTGGTATTTTATGTGACTCTATCTTGGGGGACCTGAACTAGTGGAGTAATATCCCCATTGTATGTTGAGTCCTAGGTTGGTTGGGAGTTCTGATTTGGATCTAATTCAGATGGTGGGTTAGCAGCTGGTGGTTGGCTGTTCTAGACTACCCTTAGCTCCATGTGGTCTCTCATCCTTGAACAAGCTCACCAGGTATGTTCTAATAGTGGTGTCAGGGGAGGTGTGTGCAAACACACAAGACCTCTCTTGGCCAAAGCAAGCCAGCTCAGTTTCAAGGAGCGGGGAAATAGACTTCACCTCTTGATTGGAGTTGTTGTAAAGTCACATTGCAAAGGGTATGGATGCTGGGAGGAGTAGAGTATTGAAGCCATTTTTGCAATCATTCTACCACACTACTTGATAGGGAGTATCGGAGAAACAGTTCCTGTAGGAATAGAGAGTGAGGGAAAGAGTTTTGTTGTTTTTTTTTCTTTGTTTTTTCCCCTTCTTTTTAGCGGTACGCGGGCCTCTCACTGTTGTGGCCTCTCCCGTTGCAGAGCACAGGCTCCGGACGCGCAGGCTCAGCGGCCATGGCTCACGGGCCCAGCCGCTCCGTGGCATGTGGGATCTTCCCGGACCGGGGCACGAACCCGTGTCCCCTGCATCGGCAGGCGGACTCTCAACCACTGCGCCACCAGGGAAGCCCAGGGAAAGAGTTTTTTGAGATGAGGTAGAAAAGAGGCAGATCATGCAGGCCTTGAGAGGCATAATAAACATTAAATGTTAATTTATATACGGTATGAAGTATATGATTAACATTAAATACTCACTCGCCCTTTCTCCATTACTTTCCATCTCATAGGATACTCTGAAATGGTTGTCAAATCCATTTGTTTTAAAAAGGTGAAAGATTTATGTGATCTAAAGAGAAACCAGAGTATTGGTCCATTTGTCCTTAGGTGTGTCCTAAGGCAGGGACTGTTTTCTTTCAAGTGATTAGGATGCTGGCGAGAAAACAGTCAAC